GGGTAAATAGGTTTCTACTATGTTTATACTGGTTTCTACTATTGGTTTCTACTATATAACAGAAATAGTAACACTATTTGTGGCTAAGTTTTCAAAAAAAAGTTTTCATACCAACCCTTTTTCTAATCTTCCATAATAGGGTAAATTTTGAAGTAATATTTGAAGAACAAGAATAGAGGTAAGTACAAGGAGAATTAAAAAACTATAACTTTCCTGTTGTTGAAAGAAGTAAAACATGTAACCTTTTGATCTCTTCTAACATTATTGCTTCCTCTTTTAAATGAAAATATTTTTTCATAACTATAATCAAGCAGGGAGGCACTGTCACTAGGCACATAAACATTAATCGTCTGGTCCTGAAATATGATTGTAGCTCCATTCCTGCAACTGAATGTAGACAGCTAGAGCTTTGCCTGTGTTAATTTTCCTGGCCTTGACACTGCAGATATTTTTGCAGGGCTACAGTCTCTTTTGCAAAACACATAGATCAAATGACATAATTTAAAATGGAATGACAAAGAAAGACTTTTTATAGGGTACAAGAGTATGGTCCTCTAGGAAATGTTTATTTATATGTATACCGGGTGGTGGCCCAATAGTTGCCACCCCTGCCCAATATCAGCCATGGTGTGGTGAGAGTGGGGCAGGGTTTCCGGCCAGCACCAATTTACTTTCCAGCCGGCCCCTGCTCCCCACAGAGCAGCCTGTGGTCCCAAGAAGGTCTAACACTTAACTGATTTAACTATTTACATTTTATTTACAAAACAAGAATAATAGGAAGGGTTATTTCCACATGAACTTAAATGGCATAACCAGAATCACAAAACAAACCAGAATGCATTAGTCAACCCTTGACTCAAGAACCACAGGTAGGATAACTGACAGCTTTCAGCCACTGCTGAGATGCTACCACAAGGAAGCAAGGTGCTCACTCCCAGCAGCTCCAACAGGCTTCCCAATAAGCGACAGACTGCAACAGTTTAAGCTCTTCTGGTCTGCAGCAATCAAATTGTATCAAACCCCCCAAAGAGGCTGAAGGGTAAACTTCCGTGGCAACCAAAAGGGCAAGCAACAAGCAACAGAGTAGGCTTCTGCTGCAATTAGCATGACCCAAGCACAAAGCTCAGGGACTCCATCCAATGACAATCAGCTGCAGAATAAGGGACAGGACTGAGTCCCCTCTGAGGCAGTCAGTGGCAGAGGGTCAGCAGCACAGGCAGCTCCCAGGGGTCATTGCTCTAAACCCCTGCTCCAGATGACTGGCCGGGCACCCCACAAGCCTCGCAGCTCACCAATCCTGCTCCGAGCTCCGGCCTGTGCCCCAAGCTCCCAGGGACCCTCGTCCTGGCACTCTGACACTCCTCAGGATCCCAATGCCTTGCCTGCTGCTGTCCCGCTTCCCCAGGGAAGGTGAGGGGTTTCCTCAACTCACCGGCCCAGCTCCCTGCTCGGGATAAGGATGCCACCTGCGCTCCTGGCTGCTGCTTCTTCTCTGCAGTGGAGTAGGGGGCCAACCGCCATCCCTAGCCCCCGGGATGCCCGGCACGTCCAGCACACTGTGATGGGGCCTTGGGGCACCAGCTCTGCTCCAAGCCCTGGCCACTGCTCCCTCTCTGCTGCAGGGCTGGAGGCACGGCCAATTGCCACTGCCTTCTTCTTCCAGAGCCTTCAAAGCTCTTCAGAATGGTCTCTCTGCTCCCTCTGCTGGGTCAGCTCACCCCAGCTCTCCTTAGGCCTCCTGCATTGTTCCCCTGAGTCACTGTCAGCAGCCCCCCATGCCAGTTCGCCTGCTGCTTTTATCCCCTCTGGAAGTCCCTCCCTGGCTTACAAACTGGCCAACCAGGGCTCAGGGTGGCTGGCCCCCAACTCCGGCCATCCCCCTTCCATGCGAATAAGGGGATTGAAAACCCCTTCTTTCGATTGGCTTTTCCTTTTCCACAGGGCAGGGCTCCCCTGCCCCACCCTTGGGGTCGCTCAGAGTTCACCGGCACTTTTTCTAGCTCAGGGTAAGTAGCTCAAGCCTATCTGGTGAGCCCACCTTGGCAGTCTGTTACATCCTCCCTTGCCTAGACCCATTACTGTCCCTGGTAATGGCAGGGTAAGATGTGTATACAAACTTTACTGTTTCCATGGGGTGGAAATGGTTGCGTCCCCAGGACACCTGGAAGATCGTACGTGAATTTTTGCACAGGCCATCTGTCTTGCTGTGGGCAGGGGGTGCAGTCTGTGTCACGGTGGCACCCTGACTCTGGTTCCACCTTGGTGGTGGGTGCATCTGCCGTCTCAGCTCCCGCAGAAGAAGGGGAAACTTCCTGCTTCTCCTCGAAGTCCACAGTGGGCTCACCTTCCCTAGCTTTCTCAGGGGCACTAGTGGAAGCCGGTGGTAGAACCCCATCACGAGCTCCATCCCCCTCTCATAACTGGGTACTTGGAACAAATTCAAGGGCTTAATCATATTCATCCTCGGTGTCTGGTTCATTTACATCCCAGGAAGCACCAGTGTCCAGCTGGAACCTCTTCCTCTGTGGGGGTCACCAGCTCTCCGGAGGTTGGGGCCCCCTGTCAACTGGAGGGCTCTCCACCAGCTCTCCCACAGGCAGTAGCATATTACGGTGCACTGTCCATGCTCTTCCCACCCCACTCTCAGGGGAAATTTCATAGACAGGTAGGTTCCCACATTGCCGGATCACAATAAAGGGTTTTGCTGTCCATCGATCCGCGATCTTGTGTTTCCCCATCTAGCCCACATTTTGGAGAAGGACTCTGTCTCCTGCTTCCAACCCCTGTTCTCGGACACAGACATCATAGGGTCGTGTGTGCCACTGCTGGTTCTTTTGTGCCATCTCCGTAGCCAACCTGTACACCCACCGCAATCGGTTGCACAGTTGCTGGGCATATTGCCCATGGGAACCATGGCTCCCAAAAGCCTTTTCCACCCCAAAGCACAAGTCTATGGGCCACCGAGGCTCTCTCCCAAACATGAGGAGGTACGGACTGGCTCCCGTGGCATCATTCTTTGTAGAATTGTAAGTGTGAACCAAGTAAGCTATATGCTGGCTCCACAATGCTTTTTGCTCCTGAGACAGTGTCCCCAACATGTTTAACAGTGTACAATTAAAACGTTATGGCTGAGGGTGTCACAGGGCACTAGGGTGCCCTGATCCTTTAAAGAGCTGAAACTGCTAGGGGAAGAGCCCTAGCAGTGAGTTGGAAGCCCCAGCTCCTGGTTACCAGGGCAGCCAGAACGTGCTAGTGGCCCACACCTGTCAGCGGTCAGCTGACCGGAAGGGGCAGGGCCTGGCTCATATATAAACCCCATGGCTGAGGCCAGGAAGGCAGTTCCCTGCCAGCAGCCAAGGGGGAAGGAGCTCTCCTTGAGTGAGCAAAGGAGAGAGGCCTGACTGCAGATACAGCTTCTGAAACTGTTGAGGGACGGAGCACCCCCGGTGTGGCTTGAATGATGTTATAGCCAGGTGGCTTGAATTTATGTTATAGTCCAGGGGCTTGTGTTTTGTTTGCTGTTGTATAAGACCGGTGGTTTGGATGAGGCTATTAGGGGACGAAGGAGGCCTCATTGGGGGCCCACAGCAGTGTGGAGACCCCAGCGCCAGAGAGGGCGCAGCATTTGGGGTGCACTGGTGCCAGAGAGGGTGCGGCATTTGGGGTGCACTGACCCTGGCACCAGTGAGGCGCAAAGCGAGACAGGGCTGCGGAAAGCCCAGGGGGGACAAGGGGACCAAATTACAACAAGGCCCAGACCAGACAATGTTGGTACCATCTGCAAGGCTTGGGGTGTGGTAAAGGGGTGGTTGGAGCCACGCATAGCCCATAAGGCTAGGGTGTCCCGAAACACCCATCGTGACATCTATTTTGAAGCAGGACACACGCAGGGTCTGGGAACCCATGGGGTCCAGAGAATCATTCAAAACTGTGTCCAAGAGGACTTAAAGGCAGCCTCCCTCTTAATCATTCCATCAAAGACGTGGTGGGAAAGAACAGAGGGTGCCCATTGAGCCAACTTGGCATGGTAAAGGGGCCTTGGGGAGAATCACGGCCATCCTTCAGGACTCCATCCTGTGACAGAGGGTCCCCTTGAGGATGGTATGGGGTGATCCAGGACTTCTGTATTCCTGTGATGGTCAGTACTTCTCGCAGTAGCTTGCTTTCAAAGTCCCTTCCCTGGTCAGAGACAATCCGAGCCGGTAGCCCAAACACTGAAAAGTACTTCTCCCAAAGCACTTTAGCAACTGTACGAGCAGTTTGGTCATGGGTGGGGAAGGCCTGAGCATATCTGGTAAAGTGATCCATCACTACCAGCACACTGGAGTGTATATATTAGCTGTCTGTTACATACAGTACCTGACATGTGGCACAGTCCCCTCCATTCCAAAGGCCAACTAGCGGTTCTTCAAAGTTTTTTGAAAAAGCCCCAGGAAATAAATTATTTGGGGCCAAAAAAGAGGTAAACTCCATCAGAAATCAAGAGGTAACTCCAACTCTTTTTTTGGTTTAGTTGTGAAATTTTAACAAGGAACTCAAGGAGTTTCCTAAAAAAGGTCATCCAAGGGCTTTTATTTTGGAAAACATTGGGTGCATCTACACATCCATTATTGTGCTGTAGTTACTGCACATTAAGTTTAGTACTTGCATAACCAAGTACTAAATCAATGAGCAGTAACTGGTGCTACTGTGAAGTAGCACTGATGCACAGCATTTTATCGTTGCTAACCATGCATAGCCTAATACTACTGCACAGTAGTGTATTAGCATGGTTTTTGCCCTATATGCTACTGCACGGTATTATTAGGCTACTGCGCAGTTAGCAGCTCATGTAGATGCACTCATTGTATTGTAAAGCTATACAACAGGTAATGCCAGTAAAGTGAATCTTAAGTCTGTAATGTCTTCAGGCATGTGAAAAAACATTCTGATGGAAGTACAACAAATTTAAGACATTTATTCAAACTGGGCACAGCAGAGAAAGGAGTAAAAACATACTCAAACATGCGTGTAGGCATCCTATTTGGTATCATTGGCTGTCCTGTAATAGCAACCTTATTCATTAATGTTTTACTCATTCTTTCATAGGTCTTCCAAAGAGATAACCAAGTGGATACTAGACTAACAAAAAAAGGTAATCGGACTCCGCTGACCTGTTTAACCCTGAATGTGAAGGATGAAAAGCAGCAGCCTTTCCTGTGAAACAGTGCTTCAGGTATGCAAACACTTTCTTCTCTTGACTCTTCTTTTCTTTCCTTTTGAGTTAAGAAATTATTACTAGAAGAACTGTCAAGGCATTGAGCTGGTAATGTTGTGAATTCACGCAAAGGACTATATAGAAAGATTATGTTCCAGCAGTTTTAGAAACAGGTATGTTCTTAGAGTCACATACTTTATTTTTATCATAAATACTTTGACACAAATCAGAATGCATTAAAGAATATGGTAAAACAAAAGTAAAGTTGTTATAAGTGTGATAGAGCTATGTAATTCTATACTAGAATTTGACTTGTGGTTTTTTAAATGTTTTCTCAGGTTTTGTGGTAATAAACCATGTGCTCCTTTCTTGCTCTACTGCAAAAAAAAGTTTAATGGCTAATATTACATTATAATACTAGTATCAGAAGTAAGATCCAGTACTGAAAAGGGAACTGTTCTGATCTTTTTCTTTGTTAATAAAAAAACCCCTTCTTTAAAAACAGGATTAAGGTATTTTTAATCAGTCTACACCTTTTATCATTCAATTCACATTTTTAAAGGATAACTACGAGTAAATAGGCAAAACTCCCATTAACTACAACTGATGTGTGTTCTAGTAGTAAAAAGTTAAATTTGTCAGTGCCTTGAATCTTGCATAGCTAATTAGATTTTTGAAAATCTAGTGCATCAACAACATGTTGAAAAGTGCTTTGTAAGAAAGTATAAATTATGTCATATTGCTGGCCGTTACAATAAAATCCATCATAATTTTACCTTTGGCCTTTGCATCCCTGTCATTGCCATGTAATCAGCATTGGGTAACAGAATTTTTAAGTTGCAGCCTACTTCAGTAACTTCAAACTGTTACCTAGTATTATCTGGTTACAAGAGGTATAAAAATGTCAAGCAGCCAGATCCTGCTCCCATTGATTCCAGTATAAGCAGGATGAACCCCCATGCTAGTATCATGTTAAACATGTTACAGACTATAATTATTAATTAGTAACCCTGTAATGGAGATTGCAAATAAATATTTATGTGGCCTGAAATAAATTAATCCTTAATAAAAATAGGTCAGTTTCATTTATTGAATAGTTTTGTATTCCGATACTTATTTCACCTGGGTGAATGACTTTCACCAAATCATAAGACCTTAAGTCAGGCAACTATTTGTTTGAATAGGTAAAGAAAAGAAAACTATTTAATGTAAATAACATTTTACTAACAAAAACATATAATTTCTGCTAAAATTAGTGGAGTGTACAAATGTCTAAACAAGTCTATCCTTTTAACTAACAAGGTATTTGGGTTTTTTTGTTGGTTTTTTTTTTTAGTAGCTTGCTTGCTTTTATTTTATAACTGAAGCTTTAATTTATTACACAGCTGACTCAGAACCAACATGTGGTCTTGTAAATAATACATGAATAATGACAGGATAGTGTTTCAAGCTTATCTGTGAGAAGAGTGTAATGTAGTCTCATTTGACATGCTAGTCAATATTTTGGTTCCCAGAAATCTTTTATTCATATTTAGCCCATTTATTGTCAGAGGCACATCTCTTCTTTAAAACCTAATCTAAGTATTGGTATCTAGCATAAAAATATTCCAGAGAGATCATAAGGACTCCCTTGGAACCATTCTGTGGTTGCCCACTCTCGACACAAGAAGAATGAGGGAATGGCTGATAGATCTGGTACTGTATCCACCAGCCTATACTTTAGTCATACAAATTGCAAAATTTATCAGTCTCATTATGGACTCCCAGTATTGTTATATTGCAAGCCACCTCCATGACATCTCAAGATGGGATCCTAATTAATTTCAAACTTTTCCAAGCATAAGAATTTGACACGGCGGATAGTTCTACAAAATAGTACATTGGCCTCAATTCTTTGTTTTCGATCCAGTAGCTTTGCACTCAGGAAGGAAAAATTGGCCAGAAAGTAGCCCTAAAGGAGCTACATTGCTTGCTATAAAGTTAGTATCCCTCTGAAGGAAACATGATTTAGCATAAGGTAAAAATTGGTCTTCTAGGACCTGAATGAGAAAGTGGAAAATAAAAGGTAATAAGGACAGTTGGAGTATTGCGTCCAGTACTGGGCGCCGCACTTCAAAAGGGATGTGGCCAGCCTGGAGAGGGTTCAGAGGAGGGCCACCCACTTGGTGAGAGGGCAGCAGGACAGGCCCTATGAGGAGAGACTGAGGGACCTGAACCTGTTCAGCCTCAGCAAGAGGAGGCTGAGGGGGGACCTGGTGGCTGCCTACAAGCTCATCAGGAGAAATCAACAGCAAATAGGTAGAGCCCTTTTCTCCCCAGCACCGCCTGGGGTGACAAGGAACAATGGTAATAAGCTGATGGAGAATAGGTTTAGGTTAGAGATCAGGAGGCAATATTTTAAAGTTAGGGTGGCCAAAATCTGGAACCAACTTCCCAGGGAAGTGTTCCTCACCCCTACCTTGGGCAAATTCAAGAGGAGTGTCTCTAGTGGGTTATGGAATAGAGAAAATCCCACACAATTTACTGATTCGTTTTGATGCACTGGCTGGGGGAGTAGTTAGCTGATTGCACGATTTCACAATGATTACACACTTAATTTATACAACACAATTTTATTTTAAAACTCTTTGCTACGTATATAACACTGCTTAGCTTTAAGAAACACCACAAACATTAAAAACACAATAATTACATATATCAGAAACAATGCTCCGAATGCACTTCCTTCCCAAACAATGCTATAAGAATTAGTGTTACAAAAACAACTACAATTACAACTAAAAGTTAAATTTGAATCAATACTATTATTTTTCATAATATACTTACAATCCTAGAATTCCGAGAAGCCAAATACCAAAATATGGTTTCATTCCTCAGTAGTACGATTTAATGGGTTGGCCTCAGTAGTACGGTTCAATAGGCTGGCCTCAGCAATACGATTCAATGAGCTGGGCTCACCAGTGATAGGACTACGTCCCCTTCCTTCAGTCCCTTTCGGGCGCTCCGCGGCTTCAGCGTGAACTAAGAGATTCGTGTTCACGGAGAGGCTTGATTAGGCGATCAATCTAATCTGAACTTATACTTGCGATTCTTCCTTCGTTGTTCTGCAAGTGAAGTCACCTCCAAATTGGGACAGGAAGTTACACATTTTATTGAGCGAGCTGACGTCAGTGGGCTCCTCCTACTCAACTTGTCATAACTCCCAAATTTGGGCTCGGATCTTACTCAACAGAAATTACCTTTGTTGAGCATTTTAAAATTATTCTTGGGGAGACTTCCATATCACTGTAAATACTCTTTTCTTTTTACCAGTCTGGTTAAAAGGCCCCAGGCTTTGATTTCTCGGAATTTAGGACATTTACTTTCTTTGTAAAAAACTTCTAAAGGTACAATTTAGATTAAGGTTTTAGGCGAAGTCAGGACATTTCGCACGTAGCTCCAAAACAATGAGCTAGATAAGGAGATAGATCCTATCTTCTTCCTGAAACTGGCTAATGGGCAACATTTACTATTTCATTCAATATGACAATAATCTCCAGTAGGTCATTCAAACTCACTACTAGCCAAGGAGAAAAAAGCAGAGTATAAACTCCGAAGAGTGGAGTCCCCAAGGGTCAGTGCTAGGGATAGCCAGATTCTTGGTTAGTACCATTTAAATCTATGATTAGTCTCCCTGAAGCCTGTGGGGCAATTTATGGACTAAGGAATCCTCAGTGTTAGAAATAATATCAGTCTAGCCAGTTATAAGTATAGCGTATTTACACAAGAAGTTATAAACTTGCTCATGTTCAGATGGGGTCATCTCCTGTCTCATGTCTTAGAATGATTTAATTTGTAAGTAATAGCTTATAATGAATTCATGCATTCTGAGCTATAGCAGTTAAATTATTTTTCCAGTTATGTTTGCAGATTGTTATTAGCAGAAAAATATATTGCCTGTAAATCTGTATGCAGTTAAGTGGGGTTAAACTGAAAGCAAAAGGAAAGCTTCCTCTTTCTGCAATAATTTAGGTTGGATTTAAAGCCATACATTGCCAGACACTTGAGTTGTTGATGTCGCTCCATTGTCTCCTTAGTGCACTATAAAAGAAGCACAAGAGAATGTAAAAATAAATGCAGCATTCTGGTTATGAAGTCAATCCCCTGCCTCCCGTACAATCCTATACTTTCAGAGTAGAGAAACAGCTGCTACCCCTTGTTGAAAAAAAATAGGATTTTAATATGGTTCGGTTCACCTGTTAAGGGCTAGAAAGAGTGAAAGCTAAAATCATTCACAGCGTGATTTATTTTAGCTTTGCAGCATTCTCAGTACAAGGGATAATTAAATACCCTTCTATAGTGGAATGAATGGGAAAATTCATTGAATAATTCCATATGCAGGCCAGACACACACTACATTATTGTGTAGCCTTGGCTATGAGTATTAGTCTTCTCTTCAACAGGCACGGTTTTGTTTCTAAACTGGACTTCAAGAGTGGAACTAATGCTGCAAGGTGCTGAGCATCCAATCCTGCTAATATTTTTCCTCCCTAGGTGCAGCACTTTGCATTTCTCCTTGTTGAATTGCATTCTGTTGTTTTCTGCCCACTTGTCCAACCTGTCCAGGTCTGCTTGCAGCTGTTCCCTGCCCTCCGGTGTGTCCGCTTCTCCCCACAGTTTTGTGTCATCCGCAAACTTGGACAGAGTACATTTCACTCCCTCGTCCAAGTC